TAAGTTTGGGCTGAGAGAGAAAGAGGGGAAGGCGGACGGATTTGGTGGAAAGATGGCCGGTGGTGATGAAGAAGAAGATGTTTGGTGGTGAGGAGGGGATCCGATTTGGTTTTTTTATTTATTAATATTATGTTTCTCTTTTCCTTATTTTTTTTAAAGAAATAATAGGTGTCATCTTTTGATTTGTTAATTTGCCACGTCATCCGCGAGTGTAACTCACTTATACATTTGTCACTTTGAAGGGTTTATTGGGTTCAGTTTTTAGTCACGTGATATGTTTAAGCAAAAAAGGTCTCAGTTGAGGTGTTCAAATGACCGTTGTGGACAACTTTGAGGGGCTGTTTATGTATTTCGCCTTTTACAAATGAACTAAATAACTTCAGCATCTTTTGCTGAAGTTTTTGAAAAAGCTTATCCAGGACAAAAAAAAAATTCAGCTTATTTAGTGCTGAAGTTTTTACAAATGAACTAAATAACTTCAGCATTTTCTGCTGAAGTTTTTGAAAAAGCTTATCCAGGACAAAAAACTTCAGCTTATTTAGTGCTGAAGTTTTTACAAATGAACTAAATAACTTCAGCATCTTCTGCTGAAGTTTTTGAACAAGCTTTATGACAAAACTAATGAATCCAAGACAAAAAAACTTCAGCTTATTTAGTGCTGAAATTTTTATAAATGAACTAAATAATTTCAGCATCTTCTGCTGAAATTTTTGAACAAGCTTATCCAGGACAAAAAAACTTCAACTTATTTAGTGCTGAAGTTTTTGAAAAAGCTTAATGACAAAACTAATGAATCCAGGACAAAAAAAACTTCAGCTTATTTAGTGCAATTACAAACAAAAACTTCATCAAATAGAGAACAAAACTTCAGCTACTATGCTTAAGTTCAGCAATTACAAACAAAAACTTCAGCAAATAGAGAACAAAACTTCAGCTACTATGCTTAAGTTCAGCAATTACAAACAAAAATTTCAGCACACTTGGTTCAGCACACTTGCTACTTCAGGCCCGTCTACTAGAATGCTGAAGTTTTGCGTGATTGCCTTTGCTACTTCAGCGTTGTATGCTGAAGTTAAACGAAAAAGTGGGTACGCTTGCAATTTTTTTGCAAAGCGGGCACAGGTTAAAACGTGATCCAAAAAGCGGGCATAGAAGCAAATGCCTAAAAAAAAAAAGTTATACGTAGGGTGAAACTTCTTAGTTCCACATTTAGGAGGAAATGAAGACCAAAAAAGGGGAGAGATTTGCACAAAAGTGCAGGCCATCTCGTTTTTTTTTTTTTTTGGCAATTGTCTATATACATCCGGTAATAATATAGTATATAAAAATTAGATTTCGTCTCCTACGAATTTCGAAAAACATTACTAAATAGCTCAAACCTTCACCGAATAACATCAAATTTTAACCAGAACTTCAAAATGGCATCTCCAATAAACCTCAATCGTCAATTTGACAAAAATTTCAACAAATCACAAAACCAATTATGTGTTTTCAAGCTTTTAAAAGCCTCAACAAATAAGTTTATATTTTTTCAATTTAATTTACCCAACAAATGATTAAATCTCTGATGATAAACATGAATATATATTTTTGGCACTATAATTTAATCGCATTGAATAAATAAGAGAATGATAATACCAAAGCGGCTAGTCTAAGCAGAGAGAATCAAACAGAACGTGGTGCATAAAAAATTGAAGCGGTCTAATTACTTATCTTAACAACTCAAGTTTACTTGATTAAATCTATTAGTTGCCTACATACTAATGTTCGTGTTCATCACGGACCAATCCTTACTTGTAAAACAATTTTTGAAATAGTTACATCCTATAGCAAAGGTTGGTACCTTATTTATTTTAAATAAATACCCTTTAAAAAAATTATATTCCAAAGTTACCTTTTGATTTTTATAGCCAAATATCTATTTATGGTCACCTCCTACCCTTAAGCCATAAAATACGCTTTGTATTATTTTTCTCTCTCATTTTTTTAGATTTTTCTCCACCCTCTCTCTCCCAACGCCAGTCTTTCTCCATGAATACAACCACGTTCAACGTCCTAGCAAAGGTTGCGACCAAGCAAATTGTTTATATTATACCTCCATTTAGCTGGAAAAAAACAAAGGATTGCAACGTGCCTACAAACGTTGAAATTGCAAGCTGGAGTTTTTCACTTGCAAAATCTCACCAAAATTTCGATGTTGAAATCGCAATTGAAGTCAGATTTAAATTTTCTTAGTAGTTTTTAGATGTGGTTGGGATTCGTTCGAAAAACCCTGACAAAGTCATATAACGAATTCGCCATTGTTGAGACTCTGAAGCAGAAAGCTTTCGAAGTGAGGATTTTTGGTGGAAGTCGAATCGGTCCAGTTATTTAGAGAAATTTTATCACGGCCCTCTCGACGAGACGACATTAGGGTTGTTCTTGAACAAAGACGAAGGTGTTTGGGGCTGAGCAACTTGAAGATTCTGTTAATATATTTTCAATGTATTTCAATGTATCTCGCTGTATTCTATGTATTTCATTGTCTTCTTTTTTCACTGTATTTCAATGTATCTCGCTGTATTCCATGTATTTCATTGTATTCACTGTCTCGCTATATTCCATCAATGTATTCATATGTTTTTTTCAATTAATATAATTTATGTATTTAGATGTATATATGTATTCAAATATTTTTGGGATATTTTTCGGTTGAGAATCTTTTATATAAATGAAAATACAAAATTTGTGTGTTATAATTGAGTTTGTTGAGTATATTAGGAGTCTATTATGTTAATTGATTCACTTTTCGTTTAAAAACAGTGTAATCCCCTGTTTCACGCCGTGAATACAGTCGAATACAGTCAATACAAATAATTTGTCCAGCTGTAATCCCATGTTTCGCGCCATGAAGACAGTCGAATACAAAAATTTGTCTAGCTGTAATCCCCTGTTTCACGCCTAGAAATGCTATTGTATTAATGAATACAATAGCTTAAATACATCGAATACACTTTAAAAATCTGAAAACATAGCTATCGGAAGTAATATAGTAAATGGTAGCTACAACTAGCTAATAACCACTAAAACATAGTGGTTCCTGAAAGTTTCTACAAACGCCTTCTGGAATAGACAGCAGTACCTCAATTCGATCCTGGATATACCTTATTGGGCTTTCCTCACTTAGCCCAAAAATACACGAGATCTTTATACAAATAGCCAGCCATATTGATTGGTTATTTTTTCTAATCATATATATAGATTATACATTAATTATATATAATTATACACATAATAATATATAAATTATGCATATATTATACTTCCACACACTATTTTTATTTAAATGGTTGAATTGACGACTATTTGGGTTAATTCTTCAAAATACATCTCGATAGTGATGAGAAAACTTCGTACTCCCAAAGTCTTCAAGAATTACACACACAGACCCACACTTTTTCACGTGAAGAATTTAAAATTCAGTACGTAAAAAGGAAAGTAAAAGTTATATATATCTTCTTTTTTCAAGTCCAGCTATGTATAATTTTTTAGTTTTTTTTTATCAAACAAAGAAAAATGACTTGTATCTCCTCTTTTTCAGCCAACAAGAAATAACTAAAATTGCTCCTTTCACCAGATTGTGCAATTTTAGATCTAAGAATGAATCAATGTTCCAATAACTTCTATAAAAGCCTAATTTCTGATTTTTATTTATTTTATTCATCGAATTTTTGGCTTTGAACTAGTAAAAACTGGAGTTGATGATGTTAGGCTCTAGAGGAGAGCCCAACATATAATTTTCACAGATTTCTTTTTTCTTTTAAGGTAGTAGAAGAATATGTCTATTCATGGGCGTATCTAGCCTTATGGTACCAAGCTTATCAGAATTTAGTATTTTTTATGCGGAGAATAATTTATGTGTAAAAATTCATAAAAATTATGTAGAAATTAGTAGCTTGATGCAGTTGTACCTAAGGCTATTTATGGTATACGTTCTAGAAGGTGTATTAGTGAAGTTAGAGTTAGTTAGTTAGTAAAGTTGGTGGTTATATATATGTGTACAGTACACTTCTTTTTTTAGTTAGTTAAGAAATGAGATTAGTTTTCTCTCTTCCTCCTCTCTCCTTCGTCTTTCTTCTTCTCTGAAATTCGATGCTTATGAAGAGCTCGACAATGGCTAACCTAGGGCTTGCTTTTGACATGGTATCAGAGCCCGGATCCACGCGATTCTGATTCTCGAGCTCCAGCAACTAATCATTTCTTCTAGATCTCTGTTTTCGCCAATTATTTTAGTTGCTCTTCCAAAAATTGTTGAAAAATTCTCAAAATTCTTTGATTTTCTGCTGAAATGGCTATCGATACTCCTGATACGAGTGCTGCATCATCACATGCAAACATTGAAACAATCGATTGCAACGATCCGCTATATGTACATCCTTCGGACACACCAGGTATTTCACTTGTGCCTGAATTGCTAATTGGAACAAAAAACTATTCGAAATGGAGTAGATCTATGATAATGTCGCTACTGGTAAAGAATATACTAGGTTTTATAGATGGAACCTATACTAGAGCTCAATATGAGAAAGATAACTTTAGGCTAAGACAATGGGGAACGGTGCAATGCAATAGTCCAGTCATAGATCAGATCAGTAGCACCAGAACTTAGGAGAGGAATTGTGTACTCTTCAGATGCACAAAAGGTATGGAAATTTATGAAGGATAGGTTTGATAAAGTAAATGCTACAAAAATCTATCACATGAACAAGGAAATAAGTTCCTTGACAGAAGGAATCTCTAGTGTGTCGGTATATTTTTCTAGGCTGAATGATCTATGAGATGAATTTGAATCAATTATCCCATTTCCTGGTTGTGATTGTGAGAAGTCCAGACAATTTGTTGTGTTCTTGCACCAGAAGAAATTTATGAAGTTCTTAATGGGATTGAATGAGACTTATGCACTACAAAGAAGTCAAATTCTGATGATGCATCCTACACCAACACTTGACCCAGCATAATCCATGATTGTTCAAGAGGAAAGTCAGAGGATAAGTGCTGGTTCTACTACACAGAATGGAATTTTAGGAGGTGCACATGTAGGGATGGAGAGTAGTGCACTGGTGACTGCAAATGCTTCTAACATGAGACCTAGGAGGAACAACGTATTGTTATGTGATTACTGCAAAATGAAAGGACATACAAGAGATACTTGCTACAAACTCAATGGATATCCACCAAGTTTTAAGTTCAATAACAGTAAGAGGAGAGGAAGACATGACAACAGTGGACCTATGGCTCATAATGTGAATACAGGTGATGAGATTCAAAATGCAGGAAATGCATATGCTTTGCAGAATATCCCAATTGTTCCAACTGTACAGGGGTTTACTCCAGAACAATATCAGCAAATTCTCAAACTACTGAGTAAGGAACCTGAGCCAACAGAAGTTGCCAACATGGCAGGGAAATCACTAACTGAACATAGATGTTGGATTATTGATTCTGGTGCCTCAAATCATATGGTATCATCCTTGAATCTCTTGTCAAGCATAATCCAAATACCTGAACCTAAAACATCTTCAGACCATCTGCCAAATGGTAATAGCACCAAAATTACTCACACTGGTTCCTGCAACTTGTTTAACTCAGAAACCATCCATAATGTTCTCTATGTACCTGAAGTCAAATATAACTTGTTGTCTATATCCAAATACACTAAAGAGCTAAATAGTGTTGTCCACTTTTATCTTGATTTTTGCATCTTTCAAGACCTCTCCAGTGGCATGGTGAAGGGGATTAGTAGACTCAAAGGAGATCTCTACATCTTCAATCCTTCAGCACCTACTACTGCCTCTTCTTCCTCCAAGTGTATGACAGTTTCACATCAACCAAGTCCAAGTTTTCTGTGGCATCAAAGACTGGGCCATGCCCCTATGACAGTCTTACAAACTATTACTGAGATAAATAAATACCTGTCTAACAGCCCGTTTGGCCAAGCTGCAAAAATCAGCTTATTTTGAGAAGTGCTTTTTTTCAAAAGTGCTTTTGTCAAAAGTACTTTTGGTGAGAAGCAGTTTGTGTTTGTCTAATTAGTTTGAAAAGCACTTCTGAGCAGCAATTAGTGTTTGGCCAAGCTTTAAAAAACTGCTTCTAAGTGTATTTTTCTCAAAAGTGCTTCTCAAAAATGTGCTTTTGAAGAGAAGCTATTTCTTTTCTGCTTCTCCAGAACTGCTTCTGCTTCTCCTCAAAAGCATTTTTTTTCCTTCCAAAAGCTTGGCCAAACACCTCAATTTTTGGCCAAAAGTGCTTTTGGCAAAAAAAAAGCACTTTTGACCAAAAAGAAGCTTGGCCAAACAGGCTATAAGTCATTTGTTTGTAATTGTCCTGTTTGTCCTCTTGCTAGATAAGTTAGATTGTCATTTCCTATTAGCACTTCTAAGTCTGTTTCTTCTTTTGATCTTTTTCATATGGATGTTTAGGGACCCTACAGAGTATGTACTTACAATGGCTTCAAATACTTTCTAACTCTTGTTGATGACTACACTAGTTAGACATGGACTTTTCTCTTAAGACTCAAGAGTGATGTGTATGTTGTTTTGAAAGACTTTCTTCAACTTGTAGAAAATCAATTTGGCACTACTGTCAAGTGTGTCAGGTCAGACAATGGACATGAATTTCTTAAAATTCTTTGTTTCAATCTTTTCAAATCCAAAGGTATAATTCATCAAAGCAGCTGTGTGCACACTCCACAACAAAATGGAGTTGTGGAGAGAAAGCACAGACACCTTCTTGAAATAGGAAGAGCCTTAAGGTTTCAAGCCAACATACCCTTAAAATTCTGGGTGATTGCATTTTAACAGCAACATACATCATAAATAGGCTTCCTAGTTCTGTTCTACAAGGAAAATCTCCTTATGAGATGTTCCATGGTAAACCTCCTTCTTTTGATCGTCTTTGTTATGCCACAAAGACTGATTTCCATGATAAATTCAATCCTAAGTCTACACCTGGGGTCTTCATGGGATATGCACCAACACAAAAGGGATATAAAGTGTATGATATTGCTGCTAATAAATTTATGGTTAGTAGGGATGTTGTCTTTAAGGAAGGAATATTTCCCTTCAAATATCCTAAACACAGGTTCCTAATGATTCCTGATCTCACTCCAGTCACCTTGCTTCAGATATATTTCCACCTTCCAACATATAACCAGAACCCTCTGCCACTAATGAACCAGAAGTTCCTACTCCTGATCCTTCAAATGATTTCACAGACTCACCTAACCTTTCTTCTGATTCCCCTGCTGATTCTCCTATTATTCCTACCCAATCCGCCTCCTCTATTCCCCCTTTGCCTACAGAATCATCATCTGAGATTCATGATGAATCAAACTCACACTCAAATCCCAATCACCTACCCCACACAAGTTAGGAAGTCAGGTAGGGTCTCTAAACCTCTTATCTGGCTGACTGACTATGTTCATCCTTCCTTACCTTCTACATCTGCTTCCACTTCATCACTCTGTCTTATACATTAGTTCATTTCCTATTCTCATCGTTAACCCACCTTTCAGTCCTACCTAGCCTATTTTTCTTCTGATCTTGAACCAACATCTTTCTGACAAGCTGTCAAAGATGACAGGTGGATCAAGGCTATGAAACTTGAGATTGAGGCATTAGAACAAAACATCACTTGGGAGGTAGTGACTCCGCCTCCTGGCAAAGTCCCTATAGGATGTAAATGGGTATACAAAATTAAATACAATGCTGATGGCACTGTGGAGAGGATTAAGGCAAGACTAGTGGCAAAGGGGTATACTCAACAGGAAGGGATTGACTTTCATGATACCTTCTCTCCTGTAGCTAAGATGACTACAGTCGGAGCTGTTAATGCAGTTGTTGCACTTAGACATTAACCAATCTATCAAATGGATGTCCATAATGCATTTTTGAATGGTGAATTACATGAAGAAGTCTACATGACTATGCCTCAGGGATTTGGTAGCCAGGGGGAGCATTGGGTATGTAGACTACTCAAATCCCTCTATGGATTGAAACAAGCCTCTAGACAATGGAATTTGAAGCTAACACAAGCTCTTCTCAAATCTGGTTTCCATCAAAGCAGACATGATTACTCTCTATTTACTAAAACAACTAATGGAAAATTTGTTCTCGTACTTGTCTATGTAGATGACTTACTTATTACAGGTAATGATCAAGAGGAGATTGATGCATCAAAAGCATCTTTGCATCAGAACTTCAAGCAGAAAGACCTTGGAGAATTGAGATATTTTCTGGAAATTGAAATTGCTAAATCATCAGAAGGTATCTTTATGTCTCAAAGGAAATATGCCTTGGAGATGATTTCAGAAGCAGGACTCTCAGGGTCAAGGCCCAAGAAGACCCCAATGGAACAGAATTTGAAGCTTACAAGCATAGAATTTGATGAGATTGTGAAAGAGAACACTGATGGCAGCATCCTAGAAGACAGAAGTCTTTTTCAAATATTAGTTGGAAAGCTTTTATACTTGACAATCACAAGACCTGACATTGCATATGATATGCAAAGCCTAAGCCAGTTTATGCATGCTCAAAAGAAGTCTCATTATGAGGCTGCGTTACATGTTGTGAGATATATTAAGGATCAACCTGGACTTGGACTTCTCATGTCCAGCAATAGTGCAGAAAGAACTCAGGGGTTCTATGACTCAGATTGGGGAACATGTCCCATGTCCAGGAAGTCAATCACAGGATTCTGTATCAAACTGGGGAATGCTCTCATTTCATGGAAAGCAAAGAAGCAGACCACCATATCGAGGAGCTCAGCTGAAGCTGAGTATAGGAGCATGGCACATACAGTGGCAGAGTTGACATGGTTAAGTGGCCTACTAAAGGAACTAACAGTTGACATTAAAGAGCCTATGAAGTTGTTTTGTGACAACAAAGCCGCCTTACAGATTGCTGCGAATCCCATCTTCCATGAAAGGACTAAATACATAGAAATTGATTGTCACTTCATAAGGGAGAAGATTCAAGAAGGATTGATCAAGACTGGACACATAGGAAGTAATGAGCAACCAGCTGACATCTTGACAAAGGCCTTGGGACACCAACAACATGCAGTTTTGGTATCCAAGTTGGGAATAAAAAATATTTTTCATTCTCAACTTGAGGGGGAGTGTAGAAATTAGTAGCTTCATGCAGTTGTACCTAAGCCTATTTATGTTATACCGTTCTAGAAGGTGTATTAGTGAAGTTAGAGTTAGTTAGTTAGTAAAGTCGGTAGTTATATATATGTGTACAGTACGCTTCTTTTTTTAGTTAGTTAAGAAATGAGATTAGTTTTCTCTCTTCCTCCTTCGTCTTTCTTCTTCTCTGAAATTAGATGCTTATGAAGAGCTCAATAATGGCTGACCTAGGGCTTGCTTTTGGCAAATTACAATAAACAACAGATATAAATCCATAATTTTTAAAATATAATAAGTTTAAAGCTAAAAGCTATTAAACCAATAAAGTTTAAATCTTAAATCCGCTTCGGTGTCTAATGATAACTTACCTTGTGCCTTAGCGTGCGTGGTCATCTATAGCCAAAATTGGCCCCAAAACTTATCGACAGATCTAACATATAATGCTGAAAATGGAAAAATAATTAAAAAATCCTAGTAAGGACAATCATTAAACCGAATAAACTGAGAAACATTTAAAAAAACAGACATAGCCAACTCGCATTTAAAGCGCAGCCAATTTCTAGAACACCACAAAAAATAATAGGAGTAGAGTTTCTCTCTTACGTGTGGACTAGTAAACGCCTACACGTGTGAACTTTAGCTCATATTACGTATGAACCAAGCAAAGAACTGTTCCTAGTGTACACACAAAAATAACATAATACGTTGACACCTCAAAAGTCAATCTTCTAATTTTCCACCGATATTTTGGTACTCCACTTAAAACTCAACAACTAATGGTACACCTCCCCTCACCTAATCATATCCCCCTCTCCTTTTTATCTTCCGTTTCGAATTAGTAGCCTCTATAATCTCAAACCGACGACCCACACTTTCCACCTTTTATACCAAACAAACAAACGCTCTCTCTCTCAAACTGAGCGAATTTCTTGTGTTTTGTATCTGAAACTGTGAAAAGGAGTATCAGAGAATTTGCTGAAGAAATGCAGGCGAGCCGGGCCTTATCACAGTCTCCGAGTTTCGAAAGCTATTCCAATAGGAATCTAGCTGAAATTGCTGATCGAGTTGTTGAAGAGTTCAGGGCTGAAAATGGAACTGAGGCGGAACTTTTTGTTGATGATGATGGAGGTTTCAGTTGCTTTGAAACTGGAAGAAATTTGAATGAGAAAGTGGAAGAGAAGGAGGATAAGGATGAGAATCACGAGGAAGGAAATGAAGATGACGATGAATTTGAGTTTTCGTTTGTAAAAGAGTCCGAATTTTCACCGGTTGCAGCTGATGAAATCTTTGACAACGGCCAGATCCGTCCAATTTACCCGATTTTCAATAGAGATTTGTTGTTACAACACAGTGGTTTCATGAACGGTAGCTCTAATTCGAATACGAACTCGATATCGTCGGAGGAGGCTTCTACTCCACCGAGATCAATTCGACTGCCGTTAAGGAAGCTTTTCATGGAAGAAGAGCGAGAAGCTAACTCGTCATGCTCATCGTCTGAAGCCGACGATCTGGAAGGGGTTCCGCCGGGAACGTACTGCGTATGGAGGCCTAAAGAGGAGGAAAAGTCTGCCGGAGGTTGTAAGAAGAGCAATTCCACAAGTTCCTCAAAACGCTGGAAGTTTCGTGATTTCATTCACCGGAGCAATAGTGACGGCAAGGACACTTTCGTCTTTTTGACTCCTTCGCCCAAAAAGAGAGAAAAAAACAAAGCAGAAAAGACGACGACTGATGCTCCAAAGGTCGCCGCAAAATCAAAGGGCGTTCCGGCCGGTGAAGGTTCCCCGGCGATGCATTACGTGAAGAACGGAGGGGAGAAAAGGAAATCCTACTTACCGTACAGGCAAGATCTTGTAGGCTTCTTTGCTAATATGAATGGGTTGAGCCGAAATGTACAGCCATTCTGAGGTGAATAATACGCGATTAAGGTCTTTATTAGTAATTACGATTATGTAGTTGATTTTGATGAGTTTTATTTTGAAGTGATTAAATTAGGTTTAGAGTTATTAAATTAGGTAGTAAATTTATGATTAGAGTGTTTGTAAATATCTGGATAAGTTTTGTCTTCATCTATGTTGATGGATTATGAAAGAATGATGGTAGTATTTTCTTCCATTGATATTGTGAGTAATTATATGATGAATTGATGATTTGTAAAGTGGTTTGTCTCTCCCCTTTACTTTTCCGTTTATTTTGCTTTCTCCCGCTCATATTCATATGCAAGAGAGGGCAGAATCTTTTGTGGGACCTGAAATGCGTGTCTCCTGCATTCTCAATATAATTGGAATAGAGGAAGAGTTAAAATGTAATTATTTGATAAGAGTGTTATACCAATATCCAATCTGGAATAATTTTCTTTTTAGGAGTGAAGAGATTTAATCCTTGTTAAGTTGATTTTCTACGAGAAACGTAGAAAATCAGTTGATCTATATTACTCGACTTATGGTGTTCGTTAGTGGTGGCAAACTGTCGGATCGTGTCCGATATGGCCGCGGGTCGAAAATGTGTAATGCAAACGGGATAATTTATCCGATCGATTCATATTTAATACGATTAGAAAATGGTTTAACCGGTTTCTTAAATATGATCACTTCTGGAGAATTCCTATCTCCCAAACTTGAGAAATCCTAATTTGAGTCTTTGCAATGTAAGAGTTAAATTTATGAATCTTATCATCTATTTTTAGAAGTTTTTTATTTAAAAATTTTTTAAATAAATAATACGAAGAATAATTATTTTTTTAATCCATTTTACCATCACTAGTGTTCTTACGAACTTGAATGATCTTACGAACTTGAATGATCCCAACTTGAGATCATGTGAACCAACGTCATTTTGATTTTCTCAACTTTGAAGACCTTGCGTAAATGTTGACGTGGTCGGTTCTTCCCTTTTCTTTTCCCTTGTTTGGCCGTCTTAATCACGCACAAGTTCCATTTTATTATATATATGCATATTTCAAGTGGAGGAACTCGATCCTCTTCTCAAATAGTAGTCGTTGAAGACTTATTTACATCTATCAGTATTTCCTTTCTTGTCAGGGAAGAAGATAAATGCTCTTTCTCGAAGGAATTGAACTGTCTAACTTTGAATACCCTGACTGAGAAACCAATGATATATAAATAATTAGTGTAGGGCACCATGATCGCGAGAGCAAGGACAAAAAGAAATGGTAATATCTGCGCAAGTTGCACTGGACCTTCACACAATTAATATGGAGGTTAGACATTTTATGTGGTAAATTGTGTTTAAATAATTCTAGCACGTGAAAAGACTTTCATCATATATCAAACGTTCAAGTGTAACTTACGCAAAGTTTTACGCTATTGATTAATTTCTTGGCATAAAAAATAGTAGTAAAAGAGTTTAAATTGTAAATAAGGACTTCGAAATTGATTTAAATATAGAGGAATTTTCAACTTCCTATAGCTACTATATACTTAATTACTTCCTATAGCTACTATTCAATTGTTACGATAGTGTATTCTCTGTTATTGAGCGCAAAAGTCGCCTAAAAACAGGGGGTTACAGTTGTACGCGGCTGTATTAACATGTATTCTCTATGTATTCATGAATACAGTGACGGCAGTCACCTTAAAAATAAGTTTGCCTAGCTATCTAATAACGCAAATAGGATCAATTAGCGTGATACACTCATAATATAACTCAACAAAATCAATTCTAGCACGCCTCATTATCAACCCAATTAATTAGAATAGTTTTTCAGTTGA